GAAATGTCTGCAGTTCCGTGAAACTATAAAGCTCTCTGTGGTATTTTCATCTTCATTGCTCTTGTCCTAAAAGAATTTGTCTTGACATTCCCTACTGCTGGTACCACCAAACACTCGTAGGCAATAGGGCACAGTCTGGACCTTTTTATGCTGAGATCTGAAAAATCAATTGAATCTCCAGCAGATGGAATCACTGGTGCAGAAAGTGACTAAACACTAACAATTATTCTGTGATACCAAGGCCTTGAAAGAGGATACTGCAAACACATAAACTACAAGGAAAAAAAAAGGGTGATTATATTCACAATAACTCTCTGCACAGTATCGTTATTTGGGGCTCTCTCCTTCTACAGGTATGCTACTATTCACTGCTAAATTAACTTTCTCTGGAAATATTTTCTATTCACTGATAACGCATAGATATATTATATGATAGGCTATGACACACACTGATAGATGACATCACATCATGATAGTGAAGCCTGCAGAATATTTCTATTCCCTTACCACTGTGCATTAAAAATAGAGTAGACTGACAGCAGAGTCTGTACTGTGATGGGAAACATGATTTTTATTCCTATTTCAAACTTGTGTGATTCTAGATTCTATATTCTTATTTTACTAAATAAAATCTAATTATTATATCCTGCATATAGTATCTACTATATACAATTTAGTTCCTGGGTGTACATAAATCCAGCCTGGCTCCTCTTTCTTCCCATTTTTCTTCCTTTTTTTTTTTTTTTTCTTTTTTTTTCCTGCCATTCTCTATATTTTCTGTTGATTTTACTAGCATTTTCTCCCCTTCTCACATATTCTATAATCTTTGTTTCTCTCTTTCACTTCACATATTGCCTTGTATACCTGTGCTAACACCCAGTTGAGCTGCAGGGAGGATTTTTTAGTGTACTCTGTTTGTATCAGTCTTATTATAACATACTCAGGATGTTATATTGCACTTGAAAGCTTCTAATATAAATATAAAGGAGTCGTATTATCTATTCCCAAAAGAATGTTAATCATAACCTTTTAATCATAATTCTAATCATATACATATTTGGAAAAACCCAAAAATTTTATGGTTGAGCATGGGAATAGATGTAAGAAAATGGGTGTTCTTGTCTTGGCTTTTGCACAGCCTTTGGTTGCAATGAAAGTATCTGATTTTGTTTTCTAGTTTGGTTTACCTGTCAAAATACATGAATAATATTGGCCTTCTTGATCGGGTGATGCTTGATCCAGCCAGTGTTTTGCTTTGCAAACACTATGCCAGGCTAAAGAGGTGCGAATTATTATTAGTTGTCAATTCTGTTTTACAGAAAACACCGTGGCTAAACACTCATCAAACTAGTAAATTGTTGGAAAGAAAATGAGAGAAAAGAGAAGAAAAAACTGAGAAAAGGCAGGTTTGGAACAGAAAAAATTAGAGCCCAAGTGGGATCCAAAGAAGAAAACTTTTGCATTAAATCTTCATAGTCTGCACCGCTACTTCTCACCTGCAGTGTGAAACTTCAGTGTACACACACAGCCTGGTCAAAATTAAACTCTGCAGCTTTCTGTTTAAACTCTGCGCTGTAACCACACTGATGCTAATGGCATGAGGTCAATTAACTTTGATCTATAATGACAAGAGCACTAGCTCCCTAATTTAGTGGAAAAAATAAACTTTCAGCAACCCTGAACACCCCCTATGCACTCTCCCTGCGTGTGCTGCCGATTAGAGCTATAATTGAGCACACTCTAGCGGTCTCTGACATGCCAAGAACACTGTGCACACAGAAGTACAGCCAAACAGAACAAACGGGTTCATACATTTAACTGTGCAACATAACACAACAACTCAGCTGTGGGCAACTCACCCGTGGTCTTCCAGTGGTCCTAAAGATTGATGACTTTTGGTATTTGCAGTTTCTACTTTCTGTACCTTGTTTCTCCATGAGGTTATATAATGCTTTATAAACTGGTTAGGGTAATTTGTGGGGAAAAAAAAATGCACGTCACTAGATTAGCCAGTTTGAGATCATAATTTATCTCTAATGGCCTTTCTTTGACAAGAAGAAAACAAAAGAAAATTAAAGCTGATAGAGCTGTTCTAGTAATGTCAAAAGTTGGCATTCTTCATCAGTCTTTAACTTAAAAGCAGTCCTTGTCAGAATAATGATAAAGGCATCATAGAAATTTTGCTTTTCATCTGTCTGGCATATAAATCAATGATCCAGAAAACAAATCATTATATATGTATTTTTTTAAAAAAAGTGAATATAAAACAAGCCAGCTTGTCTACATTTTTTATTCATCTCTGACAGAGTCAGTTATACCATTTCTCTGAGCACTCACTCACAGCTGAAACTGCTCCCCCCTCCCAGTTATAACACTGACCCCGTTTAGAGAGCACATCACAAACAGAGGCACTGAAATCAGGAGCCTTTTCCAGGGTGTGAGCTGACATAATGGGCGGCTTTGCTTCCTCTGGGGAGCAAGCACTCTCTTTATCACTAGGACAAATGACCTGGAGGAGAGGTATCCAAGGCTAGACACTCTATTTCCTTATAAGTGCCAGATCAGATCATAACACATTACTGTGACTCGCTCTGTTAACGACCAAGCACTTCGATTTCCAGGGAAAGCACGAAGACACATCAAGCTGGAGCCAAGCTCTGGGTATGTGAGAGGACACTTTCTAAGCAGGAACACCACTTTTAAAACTTCCCCTTCCCTTCTGGTACACAGCTTTGAAATCCATAGTTACAAACAGACCAAACCATTATCAAATCAACAGCAAGCAAACAACAACAAAAAAACCATTACCAATAAGCAAGGCTTACCTTACAGTAACTGCAACCTGTCAGAAGCAGGGTAAAGGAGTGCCTTTCACATGAGGGAAGGGTGGCCTTCAGCTCTCAAGGGGGGTCCTCTAGGATTCTTCACTTCGGATTTTTTTTCTACTTTTTAACTTTTTGAGGGCAGATCCTTATTCCTCAGAGTGGGGGAGTGCCAGCACTGTATATCCTTCCTCAGAAGTACAAGACTCCAACTCATGCCTCTATAATCTTGAAAATTGAGAAGGATTTCTTAGCCTAAAAAAAATTAAAAAAAAAAAGAAATCAATTATTTTTCAGGCTTGAATTAGTAAAAAAAGAATAGAAATAGAACTATTCAATGTTTTGGCAAAACAAAAAAAAATCACCACCCTACTATGGGAGCAATTAAAGATAAATTAAGAAAGAGGAGAAGTAGAGAAGGAAAATAAAGGTTAGATGACAGATTATGAGACAGAGAGAAAAGAAGGCAGAATCAAAAGCAAAGGATTAGAAATAAGAAAAAGAGGGGAAGAGTTTAGTAAGAAAAAGTAAATACAGGAAATAAAAATATTTCCCTTTCCTTTCATGGCTCTGCTAAGATTAGGACAAGTCTGGGAAAATAAGGAAAATGTTAAATACCCACAGTTAACAAAAAAGCTTTCTGGAGGAAAAAAAAAATAAAAACAACCAAAAAAGAACACCCAAAACCAAAATAAACCAGAAGAAACCTAAGAGCTTAGAAAGAGAATGCATGCAGATGAAAGGAAAAAATACAAAGGTGTAAAAGAAGGACATAAATTTGACATTCACAGACACATATTAGGGAAGTCTAGACCAAATTTGCCTGCCAGATACTCAGTTCATGTCAGGTCATGAAATGCATAGCAGAGCTTTTATGTAAACAAAATGCTTACTGGATCAAAATAGCATGTCTGAGGCAAAGAGCAAAGTAGAATGTGGTATATTAGCCCCCCAAAAGAGATATTTTAGGTTAAAACTTTCAGAGACTGTACCCTCACGCTTTACAGGAAACTTAGGAAAAGGTTTATTCTTGCTAGCTTTTCTAACACTCTGACATTCTAACACAAAGACAATGAGATATATTTTAAAAAAAGGGATCTGGAGAGTTCAGTTCAAGTCCTTTGATAACACAACTCTAAGAATGCGTAATTCTTCTCAATAAAGGTGTTCAGAAGCGTTCCTCAAGGTACTATTCAAATACATCCTTAGAGGTAGAAAAGCAATCAAATGTACGGCCAAATGAGAAGCATAAGCGCAACAGTGTTAGTTTCTGTTCATGTCAGATGGACTAGACTGTCTTCCAAGTCTAAGAAATCCATGAGAAAACATGTTGTTCTTTAAACTCTTACTTCTAGACTGTTACAGAAACTCTCATTCACTGAAAAGTTCTAAAACCAGTATTCAAACTTAAGTACCTATTGTGACAAATAGATGCTGGCAATGGACCTTGCAGAGTTTCTATCTCTATCCTCTGCCGAGGATATTAGGTTCCTGCTGACTGGGCTTTCATCTGTATTTATCCTCTAAACTAAATTAATTTAAATCACATCTTTATCTTCTATTACTTGGAAGTCCTTCCTATTGTTTCCATCTGAAGCCACCTTCTTAATGGAATTTGTTTGCTTTTCTATGGAAGTGGCATAAATAATAGTGGATGAAGAAACACAACAGGTTTGGTGAAGTTGGTTATAGTCAGTGCATTTTAGCTGGCTAAGTCTTAGATTAGGAATCAAAATGAAACTTTTCAAATTTTTAAAGGGCAGCTTTAACAAAACCAACTTATTTTGCATTAAATGTTGATGATAATGCTTTCTTCATACACGTTTTTACTATGTTGAAGGTAAAGCAAGACCGAATTCTAAATGGGAGGTTTTATCTGATGTAAACAGCTTGTCTTCACAGGAGAGGTGTTCCAGACCTCTGATCAGCTTTGTTGCCTTCCTCTGGACTCACTCCAATATGTCCATGGCTTTCTTATCTTGGGAACCCCAAGCTGGATGCAGTACTCCAGGTTGGATCCCAGCAGAGCAGAGCAGAGGGGCAGAATCACCTTCCTTGACGTGCTGGCCACGCTGCTTTGGACGCAGCCCAGGATACAACTGGATTTCTGGGCTGTGACTGCACATTGCTGGGTCACGTCCTGCCTCTAATCAACCAGCACCCACAAGTGTTTCCTCCAGGGTTTGTCTCAAATAGGTTGTCCACCCAGCCTGTATTTGTGCTTAGGATTGCCCTGACCCATGTGCAGGCCTTGATGAACCTCACGAAGTTCCCACGTTTGTATGTAAAACCAGAAAATATTTGGAATTATTATTTCAGCTTTGCCACATTTGCAACAAATGTTCCCTTTTTTCCTCAACATGCTCTTGGTGCAAATATTAAAAAATATTAAAAAACTACTGTCATTTATATTGGTAATAATATTTTGAATAATTTTTCAGCTTGAATTGTTTACTACAGACTTTTTAAAGGTGATTTTTCTAAGAAGTTAATGCAAGTGTCTTGTTTTGAACTTCAGAAACATTCCTGCTTATAGTATTTACCAGAAATATAAAAATTAGCTAAATAACAAAATATATTAGTCAAACCTGGATTTTTTTCCAAGCCAAAAAATTTATTTGCTAAGCTTGTTACATTTCAAACATCTGTAAACCATGATAGTCTCTTTTTAAAAAAAGCCTGGATTTTGAGGAAGGCATATTTATGCGGGTTAGCTGTGATGAATAAGTAAGTGCTGGAATTTCTAATCCTAGGGACGATTTGCTGATGTGAACTGAGTACAAATGGATTCCAATTGCATTTTTTTCCTACTTGTTCTGTACACACTTGATAGGGTGCAAAACTTCATACTAGTGATTTACACATGTAAGGCTGCACATACATACATACACACACATTGCCCAGAGTGAATCACACTAAAAAATTAGACTTCTAGAGTTTCCTTTTTGGTGGTAACAGGGAGTGCCCTGCATTAGACAGGCTGGAGACCCATTAGGCTCAACTGCATGTAAAAAAGACAGTTTCTCAGCTAATGAAACCATAAATCTTTTGTTCAGCCCACAGTGCGACACAAAGGTGACCCTTTGAATTAAACTTCCATAAAGCAGCTGCGATAGTGGCTAAGCTGAGTATCCACGAGAACCTATGGAAATGCATGTTTCATAGCTGTGGACAAAGATAATGGTATGCAAGGAACGCTGTTCCAGAAAACGATGTAGCCTTTCATGCCTAATAACCAAATAAAAAATGGGAAGTCAGTACTTGGGAGCTACCCTAGCAAGCAGATCTCCAGGAAACAAGGTTCCCCACAGACTCTTCCTTGATCTTAAAGCTTAACGTTAAACATTTATATGCACGTAGCACCTGGCCAGAAGACGTGGGAAGGCACTTTTATCACACTGGCTGTATTTCTTTCTTAAATAATATATTTCCTCTTTTTTTTTGCCCCCTCTCCTGGAAATGGAACACATCCTCAATAATGTTTCTGTACTTTTTTTTTTAAGTTTTAAGAACCAGACAATCTTGAACATCTCAACATCACGCAATTTTGAAAAATATTAGCACCCCTCAAACTGTCTGGTGATGAATTGCACCAAAAGCTTTTGAAACACAAAACTATGTGATTAAAAAAAAGTTAAATATTATTTAGATGAAGACTATTGTTGGGGTATTAATTGAATGCTAATCTTCCACCCACATTTCTTTGACATCCAGGCCCCTGGATAAACTGTACATAGACTAACTAGATCCAACTGCAACTGCACCAGTCAGTTCAATTATGTGCAGTATTGTCCCAAAGGCATTCCACAGGAGTGAGGAACAACGGTGTGTGAACCTTAAATCGCTGCTCCAAAGTATTTCCAGCTTCACAGTGGTTGACTCACCTGTGTCTTAAGCAGGAGTTAAGGTATCAAATATGTAGTAGGCACATAAACCTGTACATACCACAGCAATATCTTTGTATTCTTCAAATTATTCATTTTTACCTACATCCCTCATGTAGCACACAATCTGTTATAGATGCAAACTTCCATGATAGCAATATAAAGCAACCTCGATGCTTCCAGTGAAGCAAACAGGAAAACACACCTGGAATCAAAGAACAAATAGCTCAGAGCAATGCTTATTTTTCTTTTTTTTTATTTTTCCAATATTATTATTTCCTTTACAAATAAGAAATCCCAAAATACGTTATCCATTAAGACCAGTGCCTGTTGAGTGTGCAGACTGCGAAAATAAAGCCATTTTTGTTTGTGCAAAGCAACTCTTCACATCTTTTTTAAACAAAAAGTTTTGATTTTGCTTCAGCATTTTGGCTGAGAACAAATCAGAAAAAATATCAAACCAAAAACCCTAAAAAAAACCCCCAAAACTGCAAATTAGAGCACCTGTTCATTTGAGTTCTTGACTGTGGTTACATTGCTACTGTGGTATAAAGAGACTTTTTTGTGGTTTAAATGTGAGAGAAACTCTGAAAGAAGTTTTTACCCTGAGTATGGTCTGGGACACGTAAAGTTTTGACACTAAATTTTAGCCTTAAAAAACCCCCCACTAACTGCACCTCAATTTTTTCCCTTTTTTAAGTATTCCCAGAGATTTGAGAAATAAACATTAAAAAGATCATAAGTACACAGGAGGAAAAACAGCTGTAGAGTCTGAATACAACTCAGGCAATAACAAATGCAATTAGGTCCAGAAAAAGAAAACGAGGGAATACTGGAAAATTTCACCATAATTTTCACTTCTCACTACATCTTTGCTTTGCATGACATAAGATTAGGATTTGAGAGAAAGCAGTAGCTCTCCTTCCTCCACAACAGGAACAGAACATGAAATATCTAAAATCATTTTGCGTTAGTACAACTATTCTAACTGAGCTCATTTCTCCAGACAATTACTCTAGAATAACAAATATTCCTCTTTTCTGCCTTCCCCCATGTGAGGTGTATTGTTTCCAGTTAACACTTCGGAACCCGAGGCATGGGAAATTCTCTGCACAAGCCAGCAGGAAATCAGCCCTCCCCTCTGTGCTCTCTCTCTCTCATGTTTTGAAACTCTGTAAGGGTACTCATTGGTTTCTCTGCACTTCTCAGGAAATAATCTTCAGAAAAATCAGCAAACATGAGGCCGCTAGAGTTATCAGATAGATTGTTTTGATTTTGGGCACCTTACTCTGTCAACATGGTTTTGTGATAGCAAGCAAGCCATTGAGACTGTAAGTGCTGGGTTAGGTGATCTTCCCTGTGAA